CCGAAGAAGGTTGTTTTGGGCTCATACGGTGGTTTTCAAGAACTGTGTGACTGTGTCTCTATGATTCTCTATGAGGCTTCAAAAATGCTCGGACCGGTGTTCTTCCCGTCAAAACACACTCGGCAGCAAGCTTGCACCGTGTCTCCATCAAAACCCCGTCATGGGCCCTGCAACCTGCAGGCGTACCCGCTTGGCAGCGTGGAGGCCAACAAGCGGCCAGAACTGTGTCTCTATGTAACTTCAAGACGTCAAAACCCCTCAGCAGCGTGGAGCCCTGCAGGCCGCCAGAACTGTCTCCAGAACTGTTTCTCTCTGGGGCTTCACAGTTGTCGCGTGGCATGGTCAACCCCCCTCAAAACCATGCGCGGCCAGGTTGAATCCCTCAGGCTTCCTCAGCAGCGTGGAGCGCTGCAAGCTGCCAAACTTCAACTGGCACCACGCTCTTCACCGTTAGAAACACCCTCGGCAGCATGGAGCCGCCAAAGCAGGGGGTCGGCGGCATCAGGGCGCCAGCCCATGGGGCAGGGGGCTGGGCCTGGTTAGTCCACCGCACCCCCGCCGCCGTAGGCGGCTGCCTGCAAGGGTACCGCGCTGCGGGGTAGCACAGGGAATCCTGCAGGGCCACTGAGGTCTAGAGGCCGGCCAGGGCGAAAACGGAGAGGCTAGAAAACCTCGCTTGGCCCTAGCGTCGACACGCATGTGGCAAAAATATCTAAAATGCGGCACTTTTGGCTTTTGCTTGGTAGACGAAGATGTTCTTTTAGTTTGCTTTTTGTCCGTGACGTGCTCGTAAGGGCTCCCCCTTCCTTGAAGATGGCCTCAAGGCGCGAGATATGCTGCGCATGTTGCCTGGCATTATTGACATGTTCTGCTTCTGGGAACCACCACCACCACCACCACCACCACCACCACACCCACCACAACGACAACACCAACAACAACCAAAGCAACCTCCTCCACGACCACCGCCACTACAATAGAGATCTCCATTCAGCCAGGTTTGGCAAGAAAATAAACTCATTGTTTTCTGATTGTTTTCTGAATCTTTCTCTGCTGGAATTTCTGATGTTTTTCTGATGTCGAATTTTGATCTGATTTTTTTTTTATGTTTTTTCTCTGAATCTCTTTCTTCCTTTTTGTTTTTCCTTTTTCCTCCTCTTGCTACCAGCTACCAACTGGCTGGACCTTTTTGAGGGGAAACGTGTACTTTTCCTTCTTCAGGAAAAGCATCAGTCCATAGAAGGAAAGCATTTGTTGATTGAAGATGTTTTTTTCATTGTCATTGAGTTTCAGAAAGCAGCTGGCCCGTTGCTTCTGGTCCAGCGGACTTGGGACAGTGTAGTGACGTGTTGAGCTTTCAGCAAGAGCAAACCAGGAAAAAACAAAATTATATACTTACCCTGTCAGATTCATCAAATCAACCATATATCTAAAGCAGGTTGGCAAGGGGTTGGTCCATGAATTTTCAATAATTCAGCCTGTGGCAAACACAGGTTTCCTGCCAAGCCATGCCGTGGAAGAATCAGGTAGACAAGATCTGCGCGTCGCAAGACAGCTCTGATAGCCTTGTCGAGATTGCGTGCGCTTTGGTCACCACCTCTGATAGAGATGGAGCAACCTGTTTGGTGGGCACAAGCTATCCGGGAACACACTGTTGCTTTAGGCATTTCTATTCCAAAACGCAAGCGCCCCATCACACTGGTGTCCTCATGTTCAGGGGCATTGTCAGAAGCTGCAGCCTACCAGGCGCATGGCATCTTTTTAGTAGTTAACTAAAGAAAGCACACCCGCAGCAGCACTGATTGACAGCGTTTTCTCCAGCATACGGCATGGCATATGGTGTACCATAGAGAAATGGACAATACAAACATTGTCTCTTTAGTGTCTTTAGTTGTTATAGTTGTTCATCCTTTCTCTCCGCTTGCAATCTGCAGACTGTATACAGACTTTCTTTTGATCTCTCTACTCTACTCTACTCTACTCTGGACTTTGGACTCCTGCTGTTTCTACTGCGTAGTGTTTACTGTGCGACTTTGCAGAGTGCTCTTTGAATTGCCGCGACCAACCAACAAAACCCACTGCACAAAACCCAACCAGAACACGTCATGCGTGCAAGCACGCGCACACAAACACACATACACACACGCACACACCACACGCACAGTAAGACATGCCATATGCCATACACAGGACGCGCAAAAGAAGTTTGGTCTAGGAGCTGCCGCTGGTCATTCCCTGAAGACTAGCATGCACAAACGTGTATGTATGTTGAGCGTTCCACAAAATTGTCGGCGAGTGAACCGTAGGTGTGAGGTAGAGTAGGGCTTCACGCCTGCGGAAGTGAAAGGGGGTTATGAATATCGGCCAAAAGAAGAGGATGCTGAGGACAACCCAGCTTTGTCATGCATACTGGCATTGCCATTCTTGGCTGATACACGGGCTCTCACATACATGTTGTATGCATGTTCACGTGTAAGAAGCGGGCGCGTACCACGCGTAGGTATGTGTATAGCATACAGTTGTTTAAAGTTTAATGCTGCTGCTATTGACGTCAATGCAAGCCATTCAAAACTGTGGCTAGGTAGGTAGACGATGGAAGTTGTGAAGGGGGTCGAGTCAAAGCATATGCCATAGCCATAGCCACAACGGTAGCGGATGATAGTGATAGTGTGTTTCTTCTTTTGCCAAGTATTGCAGGCTTTGGGAATCAACTTCACATGCATTTCGGCCAGTGAACCAGTGGATGACTATCGAAAGTACCAGCGAGCAAACTGTCATCGACTTGTGCACCAACATGAGGACATGGATTCTCAGCTTGCGGGGTTGCCGTGCAAGATGCACCCCTCAAACTTGCTTTGTGAAGTGGACATGTTTCCAGACAGCTTTGTGGTAGGTGCACCCTGCAACCCTTTCAGCAGACAATCTCACAAACGTTTTCGGGAGAACTCAGTGATGGATCATCAGTTCACGGATCTGACACTGAAGAGAGTGTTAGATTGCATGCAAGAATGGCACCCGGTTACTGCAACCATGGAGACCACCGATGGTTTCCTGCTTCCTCTGCACTCGGGAGCCAAGACAACGCCTTACATGTTGCTCCTTACACGCACTAGTGACTAGTCACTAGCTTCACTAGTTATAGTCATGGTCATGGCTGCTTGATAGCGCAGAGTTCGAGGCACAGGTTGCAGAGGTTTGCTTGCCACGGACTGTTTAGGTTTAGGTAGTAGAGTCGTAGGTAGAGTACAAGTATAAGATTGCGGTCACTCACTATTACTACTGCTACTACCACTAATACTATGTTACTATTTCTGTGCTCATGTGGGAAACCGGGCCTAGGTTTCAGCAGGAAATGAGTCAGCGCTCTTTCAAATATGGCGGATATCGGACGGTCACCGTTAAGCTGGACATGAAGTGCTGGATGAACATCGCTCGCAGCAGGTCTTGCCTTCTGGTTTACTTCTTTTACTTCTTGTGTGTTCCTTGCGTTCTTTGACAGCACATTGAGTCATTGAGCATGTCCATTGTCATAAACTCTGACCAATTGCTTTTGCGGTCGCATAGTCACAATCAGTCATATGCACTACTTACTTCAGCAAAGGGCAATTTGTTTGTGCAGCTGTCAAACGTGTGTTGGATGAATCTTGCTGCCTTTTTGCACAAGAGTGGGACTGTCAAAAGACACTAATCCAAGAGCGCCCACTAAATGAAGGAGAGTATTAAACTTTTACCACTGGCGACCAGGCCATGCAGGTATATGAAAACAATATGAAAACAATACCCCTTTTGGAGGTACCCAAGTTTTACTAGACTTAGACTTCCCCAAGCCAGACCTTTCTGCAAATCAATCTGAATTGCGGCATGGCGGAATCATGTGATGCCGCGGGTAGACCGGGTAGACGGCTGCCGCTTGGATTTCTTAGAGACTTCCAACAAAGGGCTGGACGACCATGGGGGTCGAATCTTGTGGCTGCTGATGTCAAAAGGCAGCAGAGTCTGCTTGACAAGGAGTGGGACAAGGAAACACTTGCCCCTTCCACATCTCAAGAAGCATCACAGCTACAGTCTAGGGAGGAAGAAAGCCAGAGGCAGCGGCAAGCAAATCATTTAGCACGCCTGATGGAATTTGCGCAAAATGCTGTTCAAAGAAGGTTGATGCGATGCATCTTTCAGCAACGTTTGGAAACACCAGACCTAACACAGCCTAATCCAGCAGAGAGGCTAGTGGGTGCTGTCAAGCATATTTCCAGCAAACTTGTGCTGGCAGAACGGGCTGGGCTGTCAGGAACGAATGCTGACAGAAAGCTCAAACAAGTAGCCTCTGCAATTCTGGAAGCTTCATCGATGCTTTTTTCTTCCCTTTTCAAGCGAGTGCAGAATATGATTGACTCCGGTTTTGAGGCATGCCTCATTGGCCGCTCCAGAAAGTATGATGAGTCTCCATTTCGTTTGCGGGTTTCAGAAAGTGGAGAGGTGCACAGTCGCTGGTCTGCCTCATCAGCCGCCCCGTCAATTGCCACGCTGGAGTCAACATTTCACAGAGTGTTTGTACTGCTGCGTTGCCCCAAGAAAGATGGTTGTGGTGGCTACAACTACCAGTATGTGCATGGCCAGTGCCCCCAGCGCATGCACGTCATCAAAAGCACGGCTGCTGTCAATATCAAGAAAACTCAGGACTTGTGCCTGGCAACAAGAAAATCTGGAAGGTAAGTACTACCAGCTACGGCTGGCAACAAGAAATGCACGTATATATATAACATATAATGAAATAGTAAATAGTGTTCTGCCTGATTTTTTTTGCCTCTGGTTTGATTTCTGAATTTTGCCGAGCAAGCTGTTTGACGCATTCTGGCACTTCTTTGAAGCTCGGCTTTCTTGCTGGGAAGAACTCGTATCTAAACAACCTCTTGTTGTTTCTCCAGGATGTGAGGAAAGACCAGGAGCAGTGGGGAAAGTATGACCCTTCAGGGCAGCCACTAGGCAACGGCTGCCGCCTTGACATGGAGACCATTTGCGAGGCATTCCCGGGTTCACGCTTTGAGGACATCAGCAAAGAGTACCATTGAAAGACGGAATTCGGCAAGAACCGCCGGCAAGAGGTCAACAAAGCACGTCGCATCAAGAAAGACATTGGATGTCTCAAGCACAAGTTCTCCCCGCCTACCGGCATCAAGAACTGTCGCATCAAGTCCAGAACGATATACTCCAAGGTTGGCTTTATTTCTGAGAGTGAACTTCAGCACTACACAGAGTGCACAGGCAAGGCCCTGAAGCTGACTCCTGTGCAGTTGCCTCTTGAAGACCGACCAGAGACTTTGACTGGATATGTGATCAGCTTGAAGGATCTTCCTCCAGAGCTAAAAGATACCATCAGGAAGATCAAAACTGCCTATGAGGTGAACGTGACACAAGAGGAGCGCAGGTTGGACCCTGAGAATCAGATCAAAGAAGACCAGGGCTCCATCTTGTTTGACTTCTTCGCGGACCTTCAAACGAGAAGCGCTGCGGACATGGCAAAGACAATCAACAGGAGCAAGGTTCCAACTTTGACCGGGCTGAAGGAAAAGGCTGAGAAGATCCGGGCAGTTGCCAGGCTGTGTTAATTTAGACTTAGACTTAGACGAAGCATCCAAGTAGGACCTCAACCTTCATGCTCACGAATGACAGTCAGCCTGATATATATTCATATACTATATATATATATTTGTATAGATATGTGAATATATATATATATTATATATTATACACTCATGTATACGTTGTTCTCTTGTTCCGGCTGTTTAGCCCAATCGTTTGTACAATGGGTTTGTAAGAACTGACAATCCACAAATGCCAATATCCTTCAAAGTTTGGTAGTTAGCATTTAGCAGAGATGCTTGTTGATTCTAGCTCTAGATACGCAAATAGCAAAATTGGTAGTTCAGTTGTTGCCAAAACCAAGGCTCGATTGGCAAAAGAACAAGAGAAAATGCAGGACGCTGACATGGCAGACGCGCCAATGGATGGTGGTGAAGGTGAGCAGGGCGAGGAGGAGGAAGCCGAGGTTGATGAGGAGATTGAACCTGATTCGGGACCCATGGATGACGCGAAGAGCCAAGCCCAATCGGCCATTCGATTGCAGCCTTCCATGGGGCAGGCACCTCAGATCTCTCTTGGCTCAATGGCAGCTCCGCCTGTCCCCAAAAAGAGGAAGACAGAGAAAAGGGAGAAGGAGAAGGGCGGTGAAGTAGCCCAAGAAGGAGAGACAGGAGAAGAGATTGTTGAGGGGAATGTGGACTTTTCCAAGTTGCCAAACTGGATGGGCAAAGACACAACCATGCAGAGGGTCATTAGCAAGCTTGGAAAGGTACACAAATGCTTCTTTTCCTTGGACCCTGAAGCCTTACTGCGAGAACGCGCGCCCATCGGGCACAAGCTCACAGGGGCGGGGCGGGGGAAGGGGGAATGTTGTTCTTGGTAGTTGCCAGGTTGGGAAATGTTACTGGTACTCTTAGGCCTAGGGCATAGGCTAATGATTGATCAAGTAATTATGGATGGTGACCATCCTTCAAACAGTTTTTCTTGGATCTGGCTTTGACATTTTGAACGTGATTTACAAATTCCTACAATCCCACAAGTTGCACCATACAGAATATGTTGGAAGAATCTGTTTGGGTGCTGTTGAATTGCTACTGAGCAAGGGTGAATTTGGCACAGTGTGAGCAATGAGGGAAAACGGCGTTTCCAGAAAAGGCTAAAACCCTGAACCTTAGCGGCCTTAGTTTTTGTCTTTCCTCTGCAGGCGAAGAAAGTCCTGGAGACCATGAAGAATTTCAAGATGAAGGAGAGTGCGCTACTTGCTGCACGAATACGGCTGTTGGAGCATGTGGAAGGCTTGCTTCAGCGAGGGCCAATCCGAACCCAACCACGAGCTGAGTTCCAATCTCACATTGAGGCCCTGGTTGAATCTGACATCTCACTTCCATATGACCTGAGGTTGACTTGTCTGGAAAGAATGGCAGATGATGCAGTGCTGGACATGTGGTGCTCGCATGAACGTGGTGATTCCTTTGTTTCCGCCAAGTTCGAGAAGCCTCTCCGGCGCTACTTGTCAATCATGACTGTTTGGGGTGAAGATGCAACCAATGAGGGAGTGGTGAATGAGGCCAACATGACCTTCGCTTGGGCTGTGAATGGTCAGCTCTCGTCCCTGGACTATGCACTCAAGTTTGGTGGAAAGGACAAGCAGGAACATGCAAAGGAAAAGCAGGAAGCTCTAGAGGCGGGGAACAAACGATGTTCTGTATCACGACAATGCGGCGCCCGTTTTCCACTTTACATTACAATAGTGTTTGGGACAGGATGTGTTTAATATGTGCTAGGCTGCTAGTCTGTGTGTTATCATGGAAAGTCAACCGATTGTTTTTAAAGCTGGGCTCACCGGCTCACCGGACAGGCAGCTTCCTCCTCGCTTTGCGAAGCTCTTGGCACTGACTGCTTCATGACCCTTGTAGCCGATGTGGGCAAGATGAAGCCCCTTCTCACGAGGATCTGTGAGCAGTACCTCCAGCACTATGAGAAGAACAAGGCCAAAATCTCCGAGTTGGATGATGTCTTGAAGGACCCTCTAGATGTTTTCAGGAGGGCAACCTCGGGGCTTCTTGCATTGCTCTCACCAGAGCCTGGGCTGTTTGGCAGCTCCTTCGTTGACATGCAGTACTTGAAGAAGTACAAAGGAGATGGACTGATTGAGAAAGCTATCTCAGAGGCTTTGAATGATGAGCCGAAGGAAGGTGTATACCCGTGGATTACCATGTTTGACGAAGCAGTCTCCAAGGGACAAACCACGATTACTCTTTATCCTGAGATGCTGAATCTTTTCAAGCAGACGACTGCTGTCAACGCTGACAACATCAAGTCCCTTGATTGGGGCCTCATGAAGCAGTGCTTGGAGCAGCGTCCAAAGTTCAAGTCTGGATTGCGTGCAGGCCTGATCAACCCATTTGACAAAGACATTCTCCGTGTCTCCATGCTGGCAGCGGAAAACATCTTTTCTCTTGAGGGTGAGGAAATGCTCAACACAAGTTATGAACACATTGACACCTTGCTGAAGGTCTTCCAGCTCTTCCCTTCCGTCTCGGGTGTGCTGCAGCTGACCGAGAAATTGGAGAAGTGGGGTTCTTCACACAAAAAGCGCTTGGTGGTTGCTGACCTTGCACGGCTTGTGAGCAAATACCCCATCAGCCTTGATGCACTATGGCCAGAAGAGCTTGAGAAGTTGCCCTCTCGCTTGGCTGCAGCTTTCTTTGACACACCTCCTACTGGCATTGACGCAGGTACTCTGCACAAAGTTCATGTTGCTATTGCGTGGCACTTGCGCGCTTTCGTCACAGACTTCAGTGTAGCCCGGCTGCGCTGGAGATTCAAAGGCTAGAGCTTGTCAAGGACCTGGATTTGCCTAGGTTCATATATAATAGGTGTTGTGAATAGTGCATGTAGAATAACAACCTTGCGATGTCTCAGATTCACCCTTGTTTTAAGAAAGAAAGTATAGAAGTGGCTAGTGCGATGCGACTCTATCTCAAAATGTTTGCTATTGTGCTTTTGCTGTACTCTTGTTGTCTTTGGTTTGTCCCTTATGCGTCAACAATTTGACCTCTTACTTCATCAGTTTGCTCTGTGGTTATGGTTAGGGTTGGGGTGAAGGTGTTTGGTTCCTCTGCTTTGGGGAAGCAATCGTATTCTTAGCTGTAGCCATATTCACGCAAGAGAGCGACATGTAGATCAATAATGTGTAGGTCTAAGTCTAAGTACATTTCATTTCACTGTTTGCATTGAGTTTTTTGAACTTTGCAAGGCAAGAGTCAAGGCAAGCGGGTTCTTTTCGAAGGAGTATGCAGACCAAGTTGCCCACATGCAGAAGTTGGCAAAGGGGTCAAACCATCCTGCTTTGGCGTGCATTGAAGCGCAGATCCAGGTGATGCTGACTGTCTCTGAGTTCTCTAACGGATGCCTGACCTACTTTGAGAGTGGAAACTCACCCGACCAGCGCTTGCAGATTGACCCAGACCATGCGACCTTCTTTGTGCTATTGAGGCTGGCTGATCGTTGTGTCAAAGCTCGGGATGCCATGGAGGAGGCTTTCACCAAGCAGTCTGACTCCACGAACGTGTCAATCAACATGAGCAAATTCCCAGACCTGTCGGTGGATGTCGCAAAAGTTCTCAAAGATGCATCTTTCAGCCAAGAGGTGTCTTTTCTTGCCAAGAACCTCGCAGCATTCCTTGCTGAGAGGCGTGTGATTTTGGAGCGCATCATGGTGTTCTGGGGCAGCAAATGCTGGAAGAAGAATCTTCCTGATGATGCTGATCTGCAAACCGTCCTTGCCGCAGCCAAAGAAAGCATTGACAACATTGACGGTGATCGCATGACAGATGCTTTGACTGCTTTGGATGAGGCAAGGTTGGACTCCTTCTCATGTTCCACTACACTGCACTGTTATTTTTGTAAAGTACTGCGATGATTATATAATCTTGTTTGGTTTAAGTGTGTAAGCTTTGTTGGTCCTGGATTGCTGGTTTGGCAAAAATCACTGGTTGGCATCCCTGCTGCAAAGGCGAAGAAGGGAGTTCAGATTTTCGTGGACTTGCTGAACAGTTGCAATGTGGCGATGGCTATTGCTACTGAGAGCACTCTGACTTTTGGTTTGTCAACCAAATCCAGTGAGACCAAGCTTAAGGTAAGCCGAAATGCCTTGGGCGACATTGCTGGAATGATTGTGCAAGAGTCTCTTGTGCACCCAACCTTGTTGAAGGAATGCAGAACCATCGTAGATTCAGCAGGTCGTGGGCAGCGAAAGTGAGATGTCAGCTAAAGCCAAGGCACCAGTACAGACTGCATTCCGATGCCGCTCACACAATACACTGAGTGTTTGTATGTATGATGTGTCTTACAATGCGTTTCAATGGCTTCAATTGATTTGGGGATCTGGACCTGGAGGTTTGTTCAGCCTAGGGGTGTGTTATGGAAACTGTTCTTTCTTGTGGCTAGCGGCTAGGATGGTGAGGAATGCAAGAAACTTGCAAGAATGGAGGTTCCCGCAGGTCACCATGCCTGTTCCTCACGCGGTGGTTTGTCACCACTGCGCTGCCTTTTCCTCCAAGCAGGCTTGTAAAGGTTTTGCGTCGGGCCTTTTGTGCAGCTAAACATTTGGCGCTAAACCGCTACCCCTGGCCCTGGGAACTTCGAGAGACTGTGGACTTGGCACTCATTTTGCAAGCCAAAAAAGTGTCATCTCAACGCGTCATTCTTGCGAAACAGTTTTTGAATCATATGTCAGAATTAAGATTTGCAAAGGCACCTGTTACAGTATGAGACCCCAAGCTACCTCAAGAACCCAGCCAGAGAGCTTCAACCTATGGTTGTGTCTAGATTATATGCAGTCAGGTTAGTAGTCTCTAGCAACGCTACATGCTCAATCACGCTGTACACGATGCTATACAAGTCACACCAAACAACAATGGTTTGGAATCAGTAATGCTTCAGAAAAAAACTCACAAAATAAACAAAAACAATTCAGAGTTATTCCAAAGACCCTATTTTGCATGCAGACGTTTTTTGCGTGTTTTTCAGAAATATTTTAGACAGAACTTTTGATGGCTACCTAAATTTCAAAAAATACTTTAGAAATAAAGCATGTCTTTTTCAGAAATTAATTATATGTGCTTATCGAGGCGCTGGCTGTTCTTGTAAGTCTCTACACTACAACAACCACAACCACGACCACGACAACGACAACAACAACGACAAGTCTCACCTGTTTGCCCCTGCCGCCTGCACTCAGAAAATGAAGTAGACATGCACGGACTGAGACAGGAACATGCTGGAGTTGGAAGGAGAATGAACGTTTCCTGCCCAAAAAAGTAAGCAAAATGAGACTTAAATTAACAGAACGGCGGGAACCAACCTTAATGGAGCTGGAGGAGAAAGCATGTGTATACTATTCAGATCTATTCAGATATGTTGTCATTATATAATTATACAGTAGTTGTCCTATCAAAGTAAAGATCTGGATTCTAAGGCCAACTACAGGAAAGTAGAAAAGTCCACGAAGTCTAGAAAAAAGAGTTGATGGTGTAGACCAAGAAAGACACAAAAATGATGGACACTGAATGACAATGAAAGGATAACGAAAATGAAAGGAAAACCCGCCAGAAGTAGCAACGAAGAAGATTGCAAAGGACACCATTCGAACATTAGAACAGCGTTGAAACAAAACAGCTTTAAATGTGTCACGATCTTGCACAGAAATGGATTGATGCATAATTTTTGCTATGGAAAAGGCTGGAAGGGAGGTGCACAACAAGTCAAAGAAATGGATGGCTAATATGGCTACACAGTTTGTTGGCCTGCTTGTGAACCATTGGGAGAAAAGTCTCTATTACAAAAGCAACGACACTTCAACAACCCCCTAGTGGAGAAGCAACGCCGCCAATGGCAAAGAAAAGTTCCCCGTCAGCATGTTCAGCCCTGCAGTAAGCATACCTCACCACTGCTCAAAGGTACCATCAGCAGCGGCACCATCAAATGAGAACAACTATTTGGTGGGAAAGCATGCCTTGTCTCACCGATTTCACCAGCCATGAAAACGCACCACTGCATCGCAAAGGGTTCGAACACATAATTCACCGGCGGCAACGCACCACTTCACCAGGCACAATGAGATTATCCTTAAATATATCCAAAGAGTACGAACCGATTATTTATGAGGGGACAATCCAATACTGCACTGCTGGTTGGGTCAATGGAAGGTGCTGTACTGAACTCTCCTGTGACACGGACAGTACGGTACAGTACAGGTCGACGGCGTGTGTGGTGCTTTGCGTTCGGTCCTTTGGGTTGCGACTCGCGTGACCTGTTTGGAATATGACGCCCTCTCTGGGTGTACCGTCTAAACAGGTACCGATATCATCCTATATCTAATTTAAGCAACAAAGTAAAATGCCAAGACAAGTCCAAGGGCATTCGGACACCATAAAAAAAATGTGTGCACTCTCTGTGAGCCAGGATCTCGTGGGAGGTAATGCAACTGTATGATACTGTATGCCAGTGTGCCAATCTTTGGGGACAAGTTGTGTAGTCATACAATTATATTGTATTGCTGGTGTGGTGCATTTTCAGTGAACAAGTTGGTGAAGTGGTTCTGTCTGCGGGTGGAGTTGCAGGACTTTGGGGACACACGACTAAACTGGTTGAAACCCGTACCTCCCAACCGCGAATTCATTCCAAAGAGTCGCCAACGCAGAGAAAGCAGGAGGAAGAAATGGAAGAAAAGGAGGAGTTGCTGGAATGCAAGAACGAAACCCACAAGAAACAGGCACTGTGTATATACACATGTTCACAAGAATTGGCCGTCTGCATTTCCTGCCTTGAAGGCTGTCATCTAGGCTTCCATCTTGGCGCCCAGCAGTGGACTGGCCAAAACTGCAAGTGAACATCGGTATGAGCTGGATTGTTCTCAGCCCTCTTCGTGACTTTGGACCTTGGAGAATATCTCGGGGTCTCCTGGCCTAAGCGTCTCACTGCTTCAAAAGGTGAGTGGGAAAAATCTGAACGCAGCGTCTCCCAAGGGCACACATTGGCACGAGCGCAGTCTTTTCCGCCTAATTCTACAGCAATCTCTTCAAGAGCTGCTTGGCCATCCTTTCACAGGACCTTTTTGAGAGCCCTTAGCAGCTTCAAGCCCAGGTCCTGGAAACCCTTTGGATTTTCCAGTGACTGAAGATTGATGTATGGGAGGCTCTATCTTGCCTGATGCTGAAGCCTGTGCCTGCGTGCCTGCATCACCTGTAGCTGAGCTTGACATTTCTGAGAGTTTCGGGAGGCGCTTGCCACTTCCAGCGAGGCCTTGAGGATCAAAAACTTCGGCCCAATAGAACCAACGCTGCGGCTTTGCTGGGTCCAAACGGTCGGCGATCCTTCGAGACTCTTCCAAAATTCGAGCCCATTGAGATTCCCCCAGCGTTGATGCAAGATTCCTGCGGACACCTTCTTTGGCAGAAATCGGGTCTTCGATGTACAAGGGTGGCGGTGGTCCAACATGAGATGAGGGAGGGGGAGCTGCAGTGCAATCAATGCCTTCCAGCGACATGCCTCGTGGTGTAGTGGGCTGTGGCGTGCAAACAAAGCTGAAAAATCCTCGCAAAAGCTCCGTCAGATTTCGCTCCGACGGCATCTCTCCGTCTTTGCGCTTTGTCCAACTTGCTCTGCCGTCTCCAAGCTTGGCCACAGGGGGTACATACTCCTGCCGCTGAAGAAAGCATAGCACAAAAGCTGTCCATGCGACGCCATTCATGTAGCCTTCATGTCCCGAAAGCCCATGGTTGGTGGCCCAAAACTTCACCAAACGCACTACATCTCGTGACACTTCACAGCAGTCACACAACCGCCGAATCAGTGTATCTAGAGATTCTTGGCTGGCGCTCTCATCCACAATCACATGAGCAACAAGCTGGGGCGAACCGCGGAGCCTCACAGAAAACTGACAGGTCGCGTGGGGATAAAGCCGCGTTGCATCAGTGGCCTCCAGATTGTTGGAGTGAGGGGGGCTGTGGAGTTTGTCCCACAAACGCGCCATCTTCACTTCACGCTCGTCAGGCGAACCCGGAATCGAGAAGCACACCACATCCAAGTCGGAGCCATCCAACTCTGTGTGCTGCACAGCAGAGCCTGCCATTTCCATCCGTGCGGTTCCTTGCCCAGACAGGGCTGACAGAGTGCCTGTTTGCAGGAATTCTTGGGAGAAGGCTGACTTGAGGAAGTGCACGGCTCGCTGGCAGGCAAACCTATACTCCGTGGTAGGCACAAGTTGTTTTGCCAGCTCTTCCAACTCTAATTCCATTCCACGGGCTTTGCTGCTTGTGATCGACTTCCTCAGCTCATCATCACTCAGTGTGTCCTCGTCCCAGCTCGGCTTTGCTGCATCCTCAGGGAAAGTGAGGATTATTTGTCGGCGTTTGAACGTGTCACAGCAAACAGCAACCACAAGTCAGCTGCACACGTGCTACAATTATTGAAACAACATAGAACTGAAACAAGAAGGGAGTCTAAGCTATGGAGCTATCAAGTCGTTGCTCCTATATTTGTATCTGAGCCTGCGAGTTTCATTGCTGCTAGAAGCTACGTGCAATAACGTGTCAAATCTCCATTATGGCAGAGGGACAACACCAGGGGGGCCCTGGTTGACCAAGGCTTTGGGGCTCCGGGTTTTCACCCACAGCCATATCTCGATTCATCCGTTGTCATCCCATCCTGGCGTGGAATAGCCTGGAGTGATTGGACCATAGCAGCCCGAGACAAAGCACGTTGGGCATGCCATGGTGCCAGCGGAGCTGCTTCCTTCCCACTTTCCAGGCTTTGCGCGACAGCTGCTTCGGCAAAACCATCACTGCCATCTTTGGTCTTCGGCGGTCCTTTTGGTGTCGGTGCTATCGAAGTCTTTGGCGTTGGAGCCATTGCGGCCTTGGGCTTCGCTGGCTTTCCCAAAGCACCTTTACTTACAACTTCTCTCGATTCTCCATTTGAGAGCTCGGTCTCGTGATTGATCCTTGTTGCTTTGTTGGGCCCCACATCCGCGACCAATCTTCTTTTCTGGGCATCTGGAGACAAAGGCGCTGGCGGGGCTGTTGGTGCTGATTTACTGGTTGTCTTCTGGGCATGCTCCGGAAGCTTGACAAGCGTAACCGACGATCCTTCTAGACTGAAGACTTCATGATGCTTTGACAAGAATTTTCTGATATGGCCAAAGCCCTGTAGATCATGCTGCCCCCACTTCACTTTCACTGACAACGAAGTGACCGGTGCCGAGCCCCCTTCTTCCTCAAGCCTTGCTTGCAAAATCTGCACGGCCTTTGTTTCCATGCAGGCGCCCGGTGCAGGCCCGAAAACAATAGCGGATCATGTTTCTATCCTTTGGGCCATCCTGGCCACTAGAACCAAATTGCAACTGCAGCGGACACGCTATGAACATCTATGCGAAGAGTCTTTATGAAGCAAACATGGCCTTGCAACCTGGCAAGCACAGTACAGCATGGCAGTGAAACACACTATATACTATAAACCATGCCCTGCAAGTTGGGTCTAAATGAAGAGCTGCAGCTTGACAGGCTATTGTTGGATTCAAGTCGTATCACTGACGAGCAAAGCCAGGATGTTTATGTTTATGTTCAACTGGCCTAATTATGGATCCTTTAAATGCTCATTGGCAATGCTTGCCATGCAGGGCTACTCTTGCTGGCAGCCAAGGGGCACAAGCACTTCTGGAGTGGCCTTCACAAAAGCGATGCACAGCCAAGGAGGGTGTCTGTGCTGTTGGACACTGCGTCCGCGCTGTTTGTAAAAGGACCAAAAGGACAAAATCAAAGGATTTAGGAGGCACACCTGAGCCTGCCAGGCTGGCAGCACTTCAACCGTAACTGTTGAAGCTGCAGCGTCTTCAGATCTCTTTGCAGCAATGCCTTCGCTTTATTTCGCATTTATGTTTCTTGAAGCCTGAGATTCTATAAAAGCACGTCATTTCACGAGTTGTTAGACTTCAAGGATCAAGATTCCATATACAGTAAATCATTGAGGGCCAGGCCTTGCATCAAGCGGCCCACTGTGAGTAGTGGTGTCGACAGTGGTAGTTTGGTGTGAGGCTTGTGGGGTACTAAATGTGGCAGTTCCTGGCGCCACCAATTGAATTGCAATTGCACTTCCATGTCGTTCCTCATGACAGTGCTGAGACAGTCCTCCACAATGTCTGAGGGTGGTAGTTTGGCGCTCTCCATGCTCTCCTCCATGCCTACTTTGAAATTTGAGCAGGTCGATGGGACGTTTAATGTCCTTGTTTAACTCCTAACTTATATATATATATACAGTCAAACTTTAACACTAGACCGGACACGGAGCTACCCCCCCCCCGGCCGGTGTGTCAAGGTATATAAAAACATAAACATATATATATATACGTATATATTGATGCATACCACAAGCATTTTTAACAAAGAACAGAAACGGCCACTACTCTAAACCTGAACAGCTACCACCACAACCACCGCGCAGTTGCAGCAAAGCAAAGCCAGGGACAAAAGAATAAATAAATATATATATATATATTGACATTCAACAAATTCAGCCGTCGCGCCTTGCTTGCTGTTTTCTGGCCAAACTGGAGGAGCAACCTCCACAAACACTCATGGGAAGGCAACCAACCAATGAAACTGCTTGCCGCATCATAAGTGCTTGGCTTCAAATGGGCGCCAGTCTCCAAAGTCTGCCACAAAGAAGCGACACGAAGAACAATTGTGGCCACTGAGACAAAAGAGTTGGCTTAGAGGGTAGGCTGGGCATTTCGGAACACAGCAGTACGGTCATTTTAGAACCCACCGGGTCTAGGGTCATTTTGGTAAACATAATTCCGGTAATTTTGGAAAACAAACGCTTATTCTTTCTCCCGCTTTGGGCCAAACAAGCACCCACTCCATGATAAGAAATACTGGGACTGGGCCTCACTCATGGAAACCCAAGTCTCGTTGCAGTCAAGAAATCGGAGAGTGTTGCGCGAGGCGTGTTGGGGGAGAGCCTCCAGGTTGCAAGTGCACCCTCCTACTTAAAATCTCTAAAATTTGCACGTGCTTACCCTCACCTGACGGGTGGCCCACAGAAACCGCTCTCTAAGTTTGAATTGTTCATTCCTGCTGGCCCTCGTGTGGCCCACAAGCGGTATGCTCCAAGTTGGAATTGTTCCTTTCTTCTTTAAGTTTAACTCTGAGACTTGTCTTGCGAACTACAGGCTAAGCATGGCTAAGCCCCACTAAGACAGTAATGGTTCCCAACAACATACTCACATGAGGGTTGCAGTCCAACCAGTTCTCACCAAGGCAATTGTTTTCTGACTCATTTTTGCATATTTGTGTATTGATCACATTAATTGTTGCATTTATTGCGGTGTTTCTATCGCAGAATCGGCAAGTATCCCCCTAGACACGTCAGAAAAACAACATTTGGTTGCGCACTCCGTTTCGTCGTCCGTTGTAGTTTTTGTTGTAGTGGTTGTATTTATTCGCATGTGTTGATATGTTTTTGTATTTTTTGGTATTGCTTCGATTGTTTGGTGGCTATATTTCCTTGGTATTTTCAGAAAATGCCAGCCTGAATGTTGTGTTGTTATTTTTGAAGAACATACAAACTTTCACCCTCGAGCTGCAAGCCGGCAAGCCGGCAAAACTCAACGAGCCATAGGTAGGCTGCATTGTAAAAGTGCAAGAACCAAATGCGTTTTTTGTCAAATGCAATGTGATTTTTGCGTGGTCTTTATTTTCTGTTGTTTCCATATTACTCATTGTATCATTTACAGCTGGAACCGGGAACAAGGTGTGCTATCAAGGCTTTGGCGCCCCCAGCTTTCAATTTTGCCGCCCGCCGCCCGCACGCTTGAAAGCACACATATGAGAGCATGGGCATGGCAGCAAACAACAAAGGACACATGCGAGAGCAAATACTTGAGAGCACAGATATGTGAGCAAACGCACGGGCATGAGCAAGCACACGAATGAGAGCACCCATAAAATTGCATACCCAAAAGCACACGCAGGAGCACGCAGGTTACAGCAAACACCTGGGAGGTTCACAAATGGCCTTCGCTCCGGCGGAATCTGCACTTCCAGTTTGCAAAGCGCTGCCTCCCGGACCTGCCACGAAACCTGCAACTGAAGGCCCGGACAGTCTTGGTGGCAAGTTGGCTTTACGTGGCAGGGGAAGCCACTTTACTTGGATGCGCAGATTTCATGGCTGGCGCTGCCCTCTGGACGTCATATTTGGCCGTGTGTGAATCAACCTATTGTGTCGCAATGCAGCTCACGGAAAATCAAGCAGACTCTTGCACCTCACATGAAAGCAAAAACAACTGCTACCCCACCTAAGGCCAGGTAGTGTAGCCGCAAAACAATCAAAACATATCAACACAAGGTGCAGCCTAGTCTAGTTCACGGAAAACGTTGCATGACAAATGAACATATGGTCCAAGGTCGAAGGAAATAAACATTTTTGATGGTCATGAAACATGCTGGAACTCTTCTGAGCTGATAAGACGATCACAGCCGTTTGCAAGATAGAGCCACAGAATGGGAAAGTAGGTGCTGGACAATGTAGGTTCCGAAAGAAGCTCTTGGTCAACTATCCCGAAGGAGCTTTGCACGATGGCAGCTTGTGTGTGCTGCGCTCGAGGCAACTTGCAGGTAGCCACGATCTTTGCGCGAAGCAGCTCTCACTGCCACAGCTGGGCAGTCTGGATTCGGTAGTTTCGCCGCAGCAAAGCCCCATTGCTGACTGCCCGAGGGAAGGCCCTTGCCGACCCTAGAGTCGCCCGCAAGTGCTCGACGGTGTCCAAGTCTGGCACGCACCCTGTTCACACTGGGTAAGGCGGGCAAGGTTAGTGAGTGGAACGTGTGAATGATGGTAGAGTCCATGACCTCCTAGGTCCACTGCCTACATGCCCCCTGCTTCTTGAAGGAATCATGGTCATGGTCACGACTGGCAACCAAAAGGCTGACAACAGGACGACTCTTCTAAAGCAAGAATTAAGAATCTTCCGCTTGTGATAGTGGGTTGCACACACACAGCAAGAAGCGCGTTCAAGAGCTGCCACACGCAGGGTCGTTTTTGATAATAGTTAACAAATTGTTTGATTGCCAATCCAGCACTTTTTGTCCCCAACCTTTTGTAATATTCTCTGATGTAATTACATCTTTGTACCCAGTTTTATGCATTCTATATATAACTAAGTGATATACAAGTCTTATTATATAAGTGATACATACATAAATAAATATATATATATATAAACTCAAGAACCCGCTCTTTTTAACGGCGCTCCGCAGTTTGTCACAAAAGTTCTCGGAACAACACTCGAAAACTGATCACTCACAGATCAGCAAACCCTCTCTCTGGGTTGGCCTAACACACAGGCCTGTGGGGCACAGTTTTCCTCACAAGCCGAGAGCCCTAAGCCAAGCAATCTTTTTTGTGAGCAAAAAATTGCAAAAAAAGACTTCCTTCCAAGCCCCCCTTTTCTTGCGCGAGAGCGCGAGCTCAAGTGTGATGGAAAATGTTGGTGGTTGTGAAACACTCGAACGTAGGGGGTAAACTTCTGAGTCGGAAGCTTCATGTCCGCTAGAACAGCCATGCCTTCATTAGTATAAATACGGGCTGTTTTCGCAGCTTGCCAACGCCCAGGTCACAGAGGTCCGAAATAGCCACATTTTCATGAAGTCGGCTACGTCGCCTGCCGTAGTGAGTTTAGGCCTCACCAAAGGCGGCAAAAGAGTTGGAGCAGCAGAGTCCATCACGGTCACAGTTGACATTGCCTTAAAGTGGCTGTGGCAGTGGAAAGCGCAAAATGCGCCCTCGGCCGAGTTTGTTGCATCGGTGTCCACTTGGAGGAGACTTTTTAAGACATGCTTAGCCACTTTGGAGATCACCCTGTTTGAGTTCAGATCACTCCCTGCGTAGAGGAGGGGCGACCTTTTGGTTCGCCAAGCACGGGTCTCTCGATAAACTTTTGATTTCCCCTGTGCGCAACATGCCGTAAAAAGCTAGGAGCAATGATACCCCAAAGCCAAAATGGCCATGAAAAAAGCTCCAGCCCACCATAGCATGAACAGCAGTCTCTGTGAGAGGCGGGGCCCGGTTTGGTACCTCGTTTGTGTGCCATGTCTTAAGCAACCTCCAAGTAGCCGGCAGCTGCCCCTTCAGCTTTGGATCTGCGTCCTGGAGGCCAGCAACCGTATCTGAAGCCAGCCCTCGGCCCTCGCCCTCCGACCTAGGAATTCAATGTATTCACTCAGGAGCCCGTCCAGGTGCTCCCGTTTGCGAGGAAGGCTGAGGTGGTTCTGCTCCAGGAAGTCATAGAAACTCTGCCGAGCTAATGTGTATCTTTGATGGGTTTTGGGAGAAACAGTGAGCGACTT